TTTATTTATTTATTTATTTATTTTATTAATTAGACTTATATACCGCTTCATAGGGCTTTCAGCAGGGGGCTGAAAGCGGTTTACAGAGTCAGCATATCGCCCCCACAATCCGGGTCCTCATTTTACCCACCTCTGAAGGCTGGAAGGCTGAGTCAACCCTGAGCCGGTGAGATTTGAACCACTGAACTGCAGATAGCAGTCAGCTGAAGTGGCCTGCAGTACTGCACTCTACCCACTGCGCCACCTCGGCTCTTATTATATTTATATGATTTTATTACTGTGTTGGCATTATCTTTCATGGCTTAAACCAGCTGAGTAGCCATGAACTTGACAGATGGCTAAATAAATACCTTACTTTTATAGGTTTATCTACAGTATTATGATGTATTTATCTCTTACCATCTTTCAGGACATTCCTTCATAAGGGTATGAAGGGTGAAAGACAAAGGCTGACTCAGGTCACCCAGTTAGTTTCAAGCTTATGTCTGAGAAAGGATTCATAGTTCATCATTTCAGCTTCTATACCATAGCATGAAAACATGAATAAGATAATCTGCCTTTCACTTACATCAGTTGATGCTGTTAGGATTTTAGAAAGGATGACTCTTGCTAAACCATCTCTGCTGTAGTCTAAACTAGAAACTGTCAGTTTGAGTAAGTGATCTTGATTCTTCAAGGAACACAGATTAAGGAGACTGGAAAGAAATGAACAATGAATAGAATTCTAATAAAATATGGATATATGCTTATAACTAAAACAGAATCTAAAAAGATGAGATTGTAGTTAAGAAAAGCAGTGTGATCTCTATCTAAATTTCTATTATTTTCCTGTTCTTCTATTGATGTCTCTTACTGTTGAAGTTTGAAGTTAATTGGGCCAAAGAATAACTTTGCCTAAGTTACTTTCCAATAATTTTTACATATTTATTTATATGAGTTCTATAGCTGCCTAACTCACTAAGTTACTCAGGCTAGTATAAATCATAAAACATATAAGAATATTATTATGGCATTTAAAGAATATACATTGATTTTTTCCACCATTTTTCCAGGGGAAATCACAAGTGCTTAGCTCTCATTACATTCTATAAATATGAAATGTTTACTCTGAAAGCATTAAGAATATATTTATCTTCAACAGTCTTTAAAATGCTGGTAATTTGTGTTCAACATTTTTACAAATAAAATCTAAAATAAATTGCTTCTCTGAAAATAAAAAAGTTAATGTCAACTAGTCACAGTTAACTATAGTTCACCACATATTCAGTGATGACACACATTAAGATAATTTCTATGTTTAAGTTTCTGGAAACTCAACATTTCAAAAACTATTTTTGTAACTAAATACATACCACTGAAATACATTACACTTTTCAAGCATTTTCACTCCATGGGGATGACAGGAGAGGGTACCAAAAAATAAGAAGTAGTGCTGACTAAGTGTATTAAGTAAACCATTGTTCTGGAGACTGCGTTCTGGTTTCAGTCCCGAAGAAATGTTAAGCCAGTGCACAATATCTCTTACTAACTCTTCGAGATATCCATGCCCATCCTGCTTTAAAAGGAAGGAACAAAAAACTTTATTTAGGTTACTTTTCGCAAATTCTCCTTGCTCAATGAAAAAAAGCACAATAATATATTTTCAACTTTTCTGGCGTATAAAACGAACAACTGCTGAGTTCTCTAGAAAAGCAGCACAAAAGGAAATTATTATAAAATTTCTATAACATATGACATTTTAAAATCTGTGCTTAAATCAAAGGGTATGTAATACAGAAAAGGTACAAAAAATGTATGCAACAATGCTGGGAAGTTGTTTTTAAGAAATTTAAATTACATGTGAAATGTGGAGACAATCAGTCTTGATAATGCCTCAAATGATTTTGACATAAACTGAAGGTCATTCCTTATGGGGATTACAGCAGTAATAAATATAAACAATCCACAGGCAATCCACATTTTTTCCAAAGCTAACAATGGGAAGATAAATTACCAAGTCAAAACCAGGTTTTGGCAAAAAGTGAATTTAATCTTCTGTTGTTTTATTCTGTTATTAATGAGTTTTGTCAAAGAAATCAAGAAAAAAAGGAACCAGAATAAACATTTCTGATTTACCTTTTGCACATCACACAAAGTTAGGAATGCAAAAGGTGAACATGTAGAAACTGTAGATAATTGTTAAGTCTGTATCTACCTTTTGTTGCACCTGCCTTCCTTCCTTCTTTCCTTCCTGTCTTCCTTCCTGAGGGGCAAAAGGGCATGTTGATTGACCCATGTATCACTTCCACTCAATATTCTGAAGCAGATCAGGCCAGTGCCTCAATATTCTGAAGCAGATCAGGCCAGTGCATGCCACCTTTTAAGTTTTAATTTCTAAATGTGTAATTATCTCTTAAAATGCATCTTCTGAAGCATAAAAGATGTAGGTTTCGGCTAATGTATCAACTAAGGCAAGATTTTGGTGATATAACTAGCATTTTATTTGTTTCTGAACTGATTGCAATTTATGTGTTATGTATTTTGATTAATAAACTATGAAATTGATTGGTCTGCATTACTTAGTTATTTTTTTACAACTAATCTAATGTGGTTGTTATAAAATATTGTGCTGCCTCAGGTATTTAAATAAAAGATGTGGCATTACTACTTGACAAGCAGTCAGTAGAAAATCTACTTAGTTTAATTTAATTTAATTACAGTTATTTTATTTTCCCCTATACAGCAAAGTTAAGAACAGAAATAATCACTGCAAAGAATTTTATGCATGTGGTATTCTTTTAACTTTAAATTTACTGAAACAAAACATTACCAATATCTTTTATATTACATTTTCTACTATGACCCAGAATAAGCAATATATTTGTGAATTCTATTTTTGCCCGCAAATTAAGCTATATTTACTTAATTGTAAAGATTCAGAATTAAATTCTTCCATTGAAATATTTCCAGTTTTGTTAACCTGGTAAAAATTATATGATTTTGCATCAAACAGGAATCTGCCAGTCTTTAATTATGGCTAAAAAAGTAAATAGATTTTACCTCTTCAGATTCAAGGAGAAATTCAGTAAATTGACAACCAACAACTGTGAGCTGTTTTGACTTTGCATAATCGAGATCTAGATTGGCATACAATTTACTGCTAGGCTTGTAAAAATACATCAGCCGCCGTACAAATCTAACATCAAACAAAAGAATGAGGCAATTAAAAACATAACTAAAGGCATCTGACAATGTATGTACCTGTTTATGGTTATTTATAATACAAGATAATAGTTTCATCAATCTTAAATCAAAACAATTTTTTTACAAAATCTGTGACATTAAATCTAACTTGTCCGTGAGGTCTATTGTCAATATACTGTCAATAGCCTCTGGAAAAATGATAAAGAACTTTTTCTGTAGCGGTTTCATTTTTGTAAGACATTTACTTCAAGAAATGATTAATATGACCTCTGTCACTGTTTCTTCCTATTTAACAAATCATCTTTCTTTATTCCAATGAGGCATTTTTTTAGACTGAGGATTTTTGTCCAGTAATCCTTTCTTTCAGTTGTTCATACCTGCAATTTACTGTAATCTCAGTTACAAACACATTAGATGTATTAAATATGCATTTTAGAAAATGTATAAAAATGAATCCTTCTGTCTTCCCCAAGAGGCGCAGAGGAGCATGTACGTTAGCAAATTTCCTTTTCAAGCAGTACGTCTGAACCCATGCAAGTAGGTGATTATTATATTTTATATTACAGAAATGGTAGCAGTAATTTATTAGGAACTCTGATGCACTTTATTTCTCTAACAACATATAAGCTAAAGAAGACTGCAGATGTGTATTTTCAACTCTGAATTTGTTAATGTTTAAATCTAACAAATCTTTCTCCCTTATGCTGCTTATCTGCAAATGTGAACCAAACCAACAACTTTTCATATCCCTTTGCTAACTTGTATAACATGTATAATCTTTTTCTTGAAGAGACAGGATTTAATATGAAATTTTGAGAGGAATATATTATTTAAAAGTAGCCAGTTAAAGTAAGGGTTTTTTTTAAATTGGTGGAGGGAAAAAGAAATTATTTGTCTTCCATCTTGCACTTATAGATTCTGATTTTTAACTAAATGAAATATGTGAGAAATATAATGTAACAAGTACTTTTCAAAACAAGAGACAGTTCTTACTGAAAGTTATAAAAGTAAATGGGAACTGTAATATTTCAGAGCCATCACATGATATGAAGTATCAAGCTTGGTGGGCATCCCATTCAATTTTTTTGCAACTCAAACCTTGTCTAGAAAGCTAAATTTTAAACCATGTAGGTGTACATCACTATGCTTCTGTATGAAGTTTTAGATCAGAAAATGGCCAACAGAATACTCCTATAACTGGAAGCATTATAAAGATCCTTTTTTATGACCTGCTCTGTGACAAGATCTCACAAATTCAGTGGCTAAGACAATAGTATAATTGTTATTTACTTTCAAAACCTATCCATTTGTTCAACACCCTTAAGAATAACCTCTTGTGTCATGTATCCATTATAGAGGGCTAGTAATTCAGCATCTGAAAATAATTGTTTACACCTGTTTTCTTATTAAGTGGATGCCACACTAAATTTATGTTTCTTTCTGAATCTAAAATAGCTGCAAATAGTTTCATTTACAAGAAGCTAAATTCAAAATTATTGGAGGAAAAGACAATAGAATTTCTTTTTTTCTAATGTATCATCTGCTGGCTAAAATGTTACAACAACAACAACAAAAAAGCCCAAGACAAAATGAAATATTTTTGTAATTATTTTTGTCGATATAGTAGACAGTTTCATACCTGTGCAACTGTTCATCCTTGTTAGTCTTTAAGTTAATATTTGGCCACTAAAAACAGCAAATAAAAAGCATGGTAAGAATTATTCCAATTAATTTCTTGTATTTCAATTCTTAAATGTTAATTAGGGTATCATCATACTGTACATCTTACCTTAAGTATGGTCCCTATCAGATTCCAATTCCATTCCAGATTTTCTTTGTGATGAAGAACTTGGCTATCCCTCAGATTAATTAATAGTGCTTCTTCAGTATCCTTCAGCAGCAGGAAAGAGAAAAGAAAAATAAGTTAATCCCAATGTAGAGTTGCCTCTGCCTCACTGAACACATTTCAAATTAACCATACCAAAATTTATATTTTTTAAAGAAAACAAAACCCAAACCTCAAAGTTGAACTACTATCTAGGGAGACAGGCTGAAAAAAAAGTTAGCTTAGAATTACTAACTATTATAAAAGGAAGGCCTAGGGTAAAAATTATATAGGTAAGATGTTCTTTTGATGACAAAGAACCTAGATAAGTCTACCTTAAGAATAAAAATATCTTTCTGCACACGATACTGATCTCTTCGCTGATGTGTTGACATCGCTTTCTGGACAATGTGATCTAGATGAAGACTGTAAGGTTTAGGTCCTCTTTTCTTCATTTCATGAAAGCGTTTCAAGCAGTTCAGTGCAGCACTGGCTCGTCTACCAGAAGAACATAATAATGCAATTACTATAGTTAATAAGGATATGAAAGTATTGGTATATTCTGTAAATCATAGGGATTTTTATGCTGACATGGCCTTATAGCTTATTGATTTGAATCCACTACAAACCAAGTCCCATTTCAGGAGTTTAGATGAAATGGCAATTATATTGCTCTGATATTCTTAAATATGCAGGCTTTCGATCATTTTATTTGTTTCATTAACAAATAATTATCAAATACAGATAGTCTTCGAATTATGACATTTGAGCCCAAACTTTCTGCTGCTAAGTGAGAAAGTTAAGGGAATTTTGCACCATTTTACAACCTTTCTTGCCATAGTGGTTAAGTGAATCACTTCAATTGTTAAGGTAGTAACATGGTTGTTAACTGAATCTTGCATCCCATTGATTCTTCTTGTTAGATGCCATATGATCCCATGACACTGCAACCATCATAAATATGAGTTGCCAAGCATCTGAATTTTGATCATATAACCATGGGAATGCTGCAACGGTTGTGTGAAAAATGGTCATAAGTCACTTTTTTCAGTGCTGTTGTAACTTTGAATGGTCACTAAATGAACTGCTGTAACTTGAGGACTACCTCTATAAACAAAATTATTTGAATATAATTTACATATAGTTCGATGATAATTAATTTTGCAAATTATTGGTTCTTAACCAAGATTTAAGACTAGTGTCTTTAGAATAATTATGCAGGAGTATCAACATCTCTAGGATTTGCTGCAGTGGATATGAAATTATTTACAAATAAAAATACTATTTAAAGATACAGCATTCAACGTATGTAGTTCTAATTCATAGTTTGAAGTTTAAGTCACAGAGAAATAACTCCTGAAAATGTTAACTAATAAAATTGAAAATGATGAAAACAAAATACAATTAGCTCACTACCAATAGTGCTCTCTGGCCATAAACAACAACAAAAAAAGAGAATGAATGCTAATTGGCCTTTGAGTAAGTGCTGCTGGTGTAGAAATATGCCAAATAAACTTTATGAAAGATGTACAATTTAGACAAATACAGTGGATTCAGAAAGTATTCAGTCCCTTTCATTTTTGTCAATTTTGTTACGCTGTAGCCTGATTCTACTGGAATCAGGCTGCAGCATAACAAAATTGACAAAAGTGAAGAAGGTCTGAATAGTATCTGAATTCACTGTATATGTTGTTTGCTTCTCAGAATATATTATAAAATGTTATGACTTTTTGAAAATGTGCATCTAAAATCTAACCGAAATATAACATGTAAGGAGAACTGGCAATTTCAAAACAAGAAAACAAGGTGGTTATACTTGCTTTATTTTGAAAATAAACATAATCTGTCTTAAATACTATTTTGCCAAAGGAAATTTTTAGATGAAAATAATAATACAAGGAGCAAAATCTCTCAGCAGTGTTATTTATACAACTGGTATTCCTCCGCTGATGAAAAGTTGTTTGATAGAGCAGGAACTTCCATTAATAGAAAAAAGTAGGAAACTTTCAGTGAGACGTAATTCTATCTATCTTTCTGACTCATCAGTATTCTATTTTTATAACTAAAATGTTTGATAACTAAAATGTATTCTGATGTTCATGAAAGCTGAATGTGTAGTTTTACCTTAGTGTATCTAAGCATATTATTAACATTTATGCTTACAGTCTCTTCTCCTTTACAATGTCAAAAGAAGCTGCCATATTCATTAAAGTTGGTAAGCAGTGTAAATGATGGCTGTGACAATGTGGAAGAATGGTGTTTGCCTGAAAAACAGAAACAGCTTTAGAGGTTTTGAAACCAAGTCCAATTTATTCCACCTACTCATTCCAACCCCCCACCCTGCAACTTGTTTTATTCTAATAGTATAAAGACCAGAGCTTACTTACTATAAGTAAGAAAAATACATTATTTTAAAAATACTGACTTGTGGGAAAAACTATTGGAAAACACTCCTAACTGCTTGCCTTGCTTGCAGCAAAGGAAATAGTCTACTAGATCTCATGGTAAAATATTACCTATTAATTAAAGCAGGCAACAAGCAATTGGTCAATCCTAATATAAAAATGCTGAAATGATGACTTGTGACTGATAATCTTACATTAGTAGAGGAAGATCTCAAGTTGAAAAAAGAAACTTAACTGTGTTGTCTTAAACCAAGAAGAGAGAGATTTCAGGATCATCAACAATGGATTAAAAACAAGCAATTTTGCAGTAAACTGTCCATATTTCAGCAACTTTGATTTGTAGACCAAACCCAGAAAAGCCTTATATTTATAATAAAAGAGGGAAGGACAATTTATTTTTGTTACTATCTTTTTTGCTAAAATAAGACGGCAACTTGAATGTGTGTTGACATCATTTTTAAGTTTTGAACATTATTTCCTTCTCCTTTACTACTGGAAATGATATCCAACATTTAGTGCCTATTAAAATGAATAGCAGCTAATCAGCTAATGACGGCAAATTTTTCTTACCATATGCAAAAGTTCCCCCAGTAAGATAGTTGCTCTGACAGATATATGATCATTGCTGCTTGTGATTACTTCAACTAGACCCTGGAATAATTAAGAAATAAAATTCTAAATATGTGGTGCACATATGACATCCATATTGCTTTACATTGAACATAATGTACTAAAGAACAGGTTTTTTTTGCAATTTAATTTAAAATCTGAACTTACTTCTAAGAGTCCATTTCTAATGAATGCAGAAAGAACCAGGGCCAAGTAATTGTCCATGAGGTCAGGCCTGGATAAAATAAAAAATAAATAAAATAAAAAATGACAAGCCTTCATATTGGCTATTTATTTATTTTTTGAAGAAAATTCAATTTCAAATCTATTTCTTTATCAAAGTAAGGCAAAAATATGTATTCTGCTAGGGTGGGTAATAGTTAAGTACCTGGATCTGGCTCGGTGAGGTAATATAACTTTAGCTTCTGCAGCTACAAAGCCATCAGAAAGTCTCCAGCTGTCCTGAAAATGGCTTGGATCTACACAAATAAAAATGTGGAAAAGAACTTAAGTTTAAAGATGGGCAGCTGAAAATGCTGTAAAATTAGGGCATGGCATTTCTCCTGTAATTTGGCATTATTATTTCTCATGGTTTCCTTAGCAGTTCTTCCAACTATTCTGCAGCGCTGGGAGAGAGTTCGTGCTTGCCTTGCAAACATCATAAAAAACCTTACGTTTAAAATCTTTCATGCATGATAGTGATGGTTCAAATATAAATTATTTTTCAAAAGCATCTCATATATTAGACAACAAATGACTTCCCTCGGAGGGGCCCTTTATATGTCATAAATAAAATGCTTAGAGCTGTATGATTCAAATTTATCAAAGAAAGATTACTACATCATTATTGCAATTCAGCTGTGGTTAAAGTTCCCCTATACAGCACCAGATAAAGAAATACTCATGGATCTTCCCCAAAAACACCATGGAGCCTTTCCGCAGGTCCAATACTAACCTACACTGAGAAGTGCTTCTATAAATTCCTCTGTCACAACAGGAAGAGGAAGGCGAAATATATCATATAGAACTTCAAGCAAGCCTCGCTGTAACATAAACAGGAATAGGATTACAAAGATGAGCAGAAATATATTTATATGAAGCTAATATCAAAGAAATACAGCTCAGACATTAAAAAAACATGGACTATCTTTTTCAGGTTATAGCTGATGTCCTATTATAGTTGCCAAAAATTTAACTGTTTATTAAACATTTACAGCAGGAAACTAGTTTTTAAGCAGTGGGCACATTGTGAATGCTGAGAACACGTAATGGATCTCCTGACACTCTGCCTTGGGATGGGGTTGCCCAATCACAAAATGGCTATCTAAAGCAACAACCATTACAAGAATGTGACTTGGCAAATGTGGCTCCCTCTCCCAGGATACCTGGTACCAATCTGATTAATTTTTGTTTTGCTAAAGAGATGGAACAGGTAGGCATTCTACAAAATAAAACACGAGATTGCATATGATGTACGTCAATATTACCATGTTTTAGGAGTTTTTTCTTTTTTAATAAAGCCATCTTTTTAATAATGGTCTTTCCCAGCCATTAAACCGACAGTATATCTAGATTTAATCAACTGCTTTTATTTTGTTTTACTCTGATTTTTTTTTACGGTTATAATAAATTGCTTTGGGGTGCTTTGTAATAGAAGCCCTAGGAAAAAAATTATAATGAAAAAAATAAACAATCTGCATTGCACTATATAATGTACGGCAGCTAATGTACAGTATGTCAAAATGAGTAGATTAAGTTTACTGAATATGATGGCAATTCTCATGTTTCCATTAAGTTCTAAAATTGTACTGAACTTTAAAACAAACTGCGATTTATAACCCCTTAAAACAAAACTTAATGTAAGCAATCCCTACAAATACCGATGGCAATGTCTGGCAGTGCCTCTGACATGTTCTCACACAGAATATAGATGCCTAAGAAAATGAATGCTATAAATTGCCTAGATTAATAGTATTGTGAGAACTGAGTGTGGCCTGGGAAGAACATGCAAATCTTCATTATTTGCATACTAATATTAATGGCAGAAGTTGAAAACATACCCGCACTTCCATGTTAGGTATACATAACACTCCAATAAGAGATTGGATCCCAGAATTCCCAGGCTTACATAAACTAATTATACCTGAAAACAAAATGAAAGGCATAATAACAGTAGCGTAGTATTCTATGTTATGTTTTTACGTTTGAACACATAAGCAGGCACTTTTGTTGCAACCATTTTCGTTGTATAACCAATTTTGTTGTATTTAAGTACAATGACAATAAAGATTATACTTATACAGTTTCAGAATCTGTTAAAGCCTGTAGTCCGTTGGAATTAGAGAGCCAATAAAACCAGGCAGGTAGCCCTGGACTTACAGTCAGTCGCCTAGTTCAAAGTATAGATGGACCTCCCCGGTACACTTTCAACCCAGTTCCAAAGTTATGATGGTCACCCCAATCACATGACCCCATTTTGGGCACTTGGCAATGGGTCTGCATTATAGCTATTTACAACACCCCACACTCTCATAACTCATTTATGATGTTTTTGTCCAAAGCTCAGCATTTATTTTTTGGGTTTTGGCAAAACTGGCCCACAGTAAACAATTAGTTCACTTAACAACCATGGAATTCATTTAATGACCACTGCAAAAAAGGTCGTAAAATCAGGTCAGTTTCATGGGTAAGTCATTTTATGACTGTCACGATTTATGACCATAATGGTTAGGCTCCATTATACATGTAAGTTGAAGGCTACCTATAAAGAAATCATAAAGTTAAAAAAAAAATCAGAAAAAAATGAGTGCATTAATACATTTAAACCATCTACTTGTCTAGTTCATGTTATTCTTTTTTCTGCACTGAAAGCCAAACATTTAATTCATCCTTTCTTCCCTAAAGAAATTTCCAATCTAGTTTGCCCACAATAGGAAAGTTAACTTCCAAGTGACACTGCTTACATCTACAGTATAAAGCATCTATATACTACTAAAATTCTACTTCATGTAACCTTTAACTGGATGGACCATGGTATCTCAAATGGGTTAACTTAAAGAAAGATTTTATAATCTCAGATCCATAATTCCAGTGGAAATTTGGTAAATTTTAGAAAACATTTTATAACATAAATATTACCATAAAGCAGTTTGTGACATAATACAAAATGTCATAAAATGTTTCCTGTGCTGATAGAGTTTGTGCTATACAGTTCTCCGTGGGATAAACAGATTATGACATAATATAGAATACCATAAAACACTTCCCGTGCTGATGTTTGACTATGCTAAACAGTTCCACATGGGTTATTTTCAAAGTAGAGAGGGCATATATAAGTGTGTGTGTGTGTGTGTGTTTGTGTGTGTGTGTGTGTATTATTCTACTTACTAACTTCAATTAAAGTGAGAACAAATAGCCTACCTGCCCATGATCGAAATGCTGCCACAATTCCCATTTTACTAGCAGAAAGCCGTGCTTCTCTGTCCTCTCTGTTAAAAAAAACATTAATGAGTAAAGACTTATGTTTTATTGTTTTTGTTTTAAATGCCACTGCTGTAAAGAGCCTAGTCCACAAATTAGGAATCTGGGAATAGCAGAGAATGATTGTGTACTTACTTGAGCTGTCCTTCTGCAGTGTCTGGGTTATGCCTGTAGTGAAAGTCCGTGTATGGAGCTAAAATCCGCTACAATAAAGAAGATTGGTGTCATTCCTATTATCATTTTATATATTATTATCACATGTAAATCTATTAAATACTCTTTAAAAATATTGTCCTCTTTTTCTGTATAATTATCTATATATTTTGTTAACCAGAAGCTTCTTACTTTTTAACAGAACTGGCATGATACAGTTGATCTGGGCTTTTAACATAAAAATCTTGTCCCTGCATTTAAACTCATCATCTAATTTCTTATTTTTAAAGGAAATAGTGTGGGAAGAAAGGGCACTGAGAGATGTTATAATTTGTTTATTAACTTTACAAATATCAATTGATTTTGAAGAAAAGAATGATTTACATACACATATGGAAGTATCAAATTTTAATGTTAATAAATAATATTTTGTTATTCAAATCTTAAAAGCCAAAGCTTCAAAACTGTATGTGATATACAAACAGTTCTTGCTTAATGGCTGCCATTTTTAGCAACAACGTTACAGCAATGTTAAAAAAATAACTTTATGATTAGGCCTTGCACTTATGACTGTCACAGTATGCTATGGTTATGTGATTGCCATTTGCACATTCACGGTCTGCTTCCAACAAGCATAATCAGTAGCAAAGCCAACAGTAAAATCATACTGTCTGATATATTCCTTAACAGGTATAGAAGTGAGATAGTAAGTCTATCTGGTCATGTGATGATTTGCTTAGTGACAGAGTAGCACCTTAGCTGCCAATTGTGGTTGTTCAGTGAAAATTACATGTAGATAAGCAATTCAAAGTTAGAACAAATAAGCACATTAATGCAATTATATTTAAAATTACCTCTAATTCCACATCAGCTCGCACATATTGTCGGGTATTTGGATGGTTAAGAAGATGTAAAACAGTCGTTATAAGAGCTTCATTTATACGGCTTAATTGACAATCTATTACATTTTTTAAAATGGTACTTAGGCCACCACGGAAAGCAACTATTTCTGGATTTTGAATCGCTGAAAGAGATTATAACATTTTAGAGTATTAATTTTTTTTAAATTGTGATAATATTTAATAACTAATCACATTTCCACAGACAAAAATCTTATATTTAAAGTTAATATTAAATTAGTCTTAAATTCATTTTTCAAAATTCTTCACTAATTCATACTACATTCCTTACAGAAACTTTGCAAACTCATATTTAAGACTCATTTCAAATTGTTCAAAAACAAACATCAGAACAGGTATTTAAGATTTAGCAACAAATTTAAATTGAATGGGTCTTTTTCCTTGGTTATATTGCACGTCATGTATATTGCAAAGAATGATCCAATATTAAATATATATATAATCAGTTATTATTGAGTACAGTTACAAAATGCTTTGATACAAATTTAAATTTATTTCAAAAGACATATGGGAAGGGGATGTGATAAAAATTACACAACCTTGTAATCTACTGTATAGATTGCCCATTCATTCCAAGAGATTGTTAATTCTCTCTACTAAATCTCATATTTAACTGAAATACTTTAAAAAATGCTTACCTAATTCACAGATAATAGCAATACAAGCTCGAACCATCCTGTCCCTCTCTTGAAGGCCATCATTTCCAACAGCTATCAAAGAATTAGTAACTGAACTGGGAAATAATGAAGCATTGACTGTAATCATCTGCAAAGAAATGTAGAAAGAAAGAAGTATTTACATGGCTCAATTAAAGAACAATGCAAAATATTCACTTATTCATATTAAATAGTATTTCACCTGTTTAAATGTTTTGTTTTGGTATTCTGTTCTTAATCAGCAACATCTTAATTTTTAATTTTAGTTTTTGAAAGTAACTGTTATATTACAACCGTACAAAGAAGCAGCCCCAAGAAAGGAAACATTGATGCTAAAGCATCTTCAAGATCTTTTTATTCATTTTACCCACAAAAATTGAATAGCAAAAACATACTCAAAATCTATTTCAAGTGCTGCTGAAATGTGCCCCAATAATTTCTCCATCTGAAATGTTCATAGAAATAATAATGTCTATGGAAAAGCTAGAAGTATGAGAGCACCATACAGAACCTAGAAGTCCTATATGCCCCATTAAAAATAGATTATTTGGATAGAGGCCAATTTGAGTAATTTTCTGAGATGGAATTTTAAATCATGGACATGAATAAGGTAAGAAAGTAGAATGGTATACACACATTTTGAACCAGAGTTTAGTTGCAGGTAACCATGTCCTGACTTTCAATAAGCTTTTTCCAATTCCTAAAGGGACTTTAACATTTGGTACATAGCTGATCAATGTTAAGTGGACTCTCAAAAAGTGGCCCTGAATATTAGAGTCCTTGATGCATCATATTTATTCACTAGGAAACCCCCCCCCCCCATAGCAGCTAAACGGAACTAAATGATACTTAATACTTCTTTTATTTGATATTTCTCCTTCCTATCTTAAGCTTTTTCTGAAAGTACATTGACATTGATCGGCTTTGGAAACTACAGGAACTACATGGAGTGTACTGGTACAAGGTGCAGTAGCACAAGGAGTCTTTGGGGCTCACAGAATGACCCATGTTGCACCATTGCTTCCTGATCTGCACTGGCTGGCAGTTTCCTTTCAGGTGCAGTTCCAGTGTTTGGTTATGGCCTTTAAAGCCCTCTAAAGCTTAGGTCCAGACTATTGGATTAGCCATCTCGTCCCAGTAAGGCAAGACCAGCATACTCAAGTTGGCAGTAGTGGCCTGCTGAGGAGCCATCAGTCACGGAACTCCTACTGATAAGATCAGGAGAACAGTCTTCTCTGCTGTAGCTCCAGCACTCTGGAACATCCTACCCCCACCCCCACCCCCCAGGTGAGATTTTCTCCCTATCCTTCTGCCTTTTGGCACAGAAGACATAGCTGTCAGTTGACTGAGAAACCATGTGAGAGAATACATCACTGAAGATGGTTGCTGGACTAAGTTACTGACCACACCTTCCTCCTGCACTTCGTCCTCCCACACCACTCATCTTTTGAATTTCATATTACTGTACTTCCACTGCTTATTTTTATTGTTTCATTCCTTTACTATTGTTATTTTTACATGTTTATCCCCCCCCCTTTATTGTTGTAAGCTATAGTAGCCCGATGGTGAGATGGGTGGCAATAAATTTAACAAATAGGTCAGAACTGTGACCATGGATGAGGTACGCAAGCAAACCGTTATATTTATGCATATATTTCTTTTGTACTTGTAATCTTGTTTATACCATGTTAACTGAATTTCGTTATCAGCATTGTTTTCTACATTAAATAATCAAGCTATTTGCAATATTATTTTATAATCATATAAAACTTGAGATGGATAATTTAGTAAATAACAGTATTACATTGTGAGTTTTCACATACCTTTCTGACTAAACGAAGTGCTTGTGTTCGTTCTACTTCATTACTTTGCTGTATATCTATGCATCTAAAATTAAATACATATATATTTATGTACTTATATTTATAACTACCTATTAAACATGGTTTATTTTCTTAAAGTTTTGATGTATTCGTTCCTTATAATTGCAATTCAGAATTAAAATAACCAGCAATATTGGTTAGTTTGGATCTAGAAATTGCCTCTCAACACACAAAGGCTTCCATCCTTCCATGAAAGTTTATCTGTAGAATACTTTTGAGGGGAAAATAGTACAGGTAACATTTTCTTATTCTTTTTGAAAATCTACTTTCAAAGATTAGCAGGGAGAAGTGGAACCTTCTAATACATGTGTAGGATACTGCATAGTGGTAGCATAGGGAAGAAAGAATCAACAAGAACTATGTTTTTCACTTTCTCTTGAAGTACAAGTGGCTAAAAATGTTCAAATCAACCAAAAATTATTTTATGGGATAAAATGATGAGATTCAACTTCTAAACATTAGTGAGATAAAATAATCCAAATAAATAATCCTTGATTTATGACAATTGGAGCTGGAATATCGGTTAAGCACAGGAATGTTTAAGCAACATGACCACACGACTGCTTCACTCAGCAACCACAACCCCAGCTCAGTCACTTCAGACTTTAAATGACCATGTGAATAATTAAGTAGACAAAGAAAAAAAGTTGCCTGCCGCAGGCAGGAAAGCAGTTCCATTCCATGTGCAGAAGGGAATTCCTGCAATGTGGCTCAGATCTTTAACAATAGCACTTATCTATAGCTTCATAGTGCTTTACAGCCCTCTAAGCGGTTTACAGAGTCAGCATATTGCCCCAACAATTCAAGGTAGGTTTTTGCAACCTACCATAGGAATTGCCTTTCCCTCTATGTGGAAGAGAATGCCTGGGATTGGCTGGAGAATCAAAGCTCAGATCTATGGAATGCAAGCTTCATTTCTCCAGTCCAGTGAAGGAGTGCCCTCTTCCCATTCACAGAAGGAAACTCCTGCAGCAGGTTGCAAAAACAAAGATCAGATCTAAAGATCTTAGCTTCATTTCTGCAGTCCAATGGATTCCCTTCTATGCACTCTGCAGTGCATAGAGGGGAGGACGAATGCTTGGACAGATGACAGGAGCTTGCAACTTTCCCTGCTGACTTCCCTACTGACTTTCTGGCGAGGTCAGTAGAGAAAATTCTGAATGGCAATCACATGATTACGGGGTGCTTGGCAACCAGTCTTAAGTGTGAACAGATTGCCAAGCACCCAGATCTCAATCATATGACCATGGGGGAGGAGGAGCAAAATTTTACAATGACCAGAAGTGCATTACAGACCATAAGGCACCCTTTCGATCTTAAATTCAAACAGTTGTTAAACAACCAGTCGTAAGTTGAGAATTACCTATATTTGCCTCAAAGCCTCCATCATGAATTGTTCCAGGGCATTCACTTATAAATGACTGCAGCTTTATTGCTCCAAATCATAATATCAACAAGATTATATCATCAGAAGGAACAACAGATGAGTTATAAAATATACAGCAGGCTTTGTAGATGCCTTTATCAGACTAATATGTGGCTAGTGTTCCCAAATGCTTCTATATGTTAGCTTATGTGACTGAAAGCAGAATTTCTGTATATACATGAATCCTGTACAAACATTGGATATATATGTACGTACGTACGTACGTACGAACGTATGTATGTATGTATGTATGTATGCATTTAGTATCAGCTGATGAGAGCTAAATAGCTTGAAATAGATCTATACTAGTCTCCCTTTATTTATTTATCAGCACACATACAATACAATATATATCAGTGGTTACCAAACCTTTTTGGCAACAGGGACCGATTTTGGGAAAGTCAATTTTGCCACAGATGGGGGGAGGGGGGAAGAAGAGCATACTCACTAGATCCATCACATGCAGAGTTTACAGTTTGCACTTTTATGGAAATCTAATCCCTGATGATCGGAGGTGGAGCTGAAGCGGTAATACTAGTGCAGGGGAGTGGTTGCAAATACAGATGAAGATTCCCTCACTTGCTGCTCATCTCTAGCTGTACAGCCCAATTCCTAATAGGCCACAGACAAGTACCATCCATGGCCTGCCAGGGACCCCTAACATAAAGGATGGAATCATGATTCCTGTTGGAGGAGGTTCAAGTTACACATTTAATAATACAAATGGACACTGTTGATGGGTCAGATAAACAACAGATACTTATGAAAAATCCAAGCAATTCCAAATCACATTACTGTAGTATCATTTTGGTAATTACCTGGCTATTAAGTAATCCACTTTCAGTTTTAATACCTTCTGTAAAATACTGGAGTCTCTGATAAGATATCGAAGAGCTCGGAGTCCTGCTGCTCGCACCTCTTTCGCTTCATTTAATAAAGCTAACCGCAAACTGTGATGATAAATAAGTCATTTAGGCTATAAATGATCGAAGTATATCCAGTCTATATTCCCCAAACCCATTTTATGTGATTTGTCCTTCATCTAACTATTTTTAACACTGTATTATCCAAAATGTGTTTTTTACAACATTTACAACATCAGCAGCTAATAAGGTATAAATTCCTATAAATGTGATTGGAAAATTGTTAAATATTTAATGTATTATATATTTAATCAAATTAAAAACAATAATATGAATCTAGAGAGTGATACAAACATAAAACATTTTACACTTTGCTGTAAATATTAATTATTGAACCTCAGTCAGAATTACCACAGAAAAAACATTGCTGCAACATTTAAGGAATTATGCAACTCTAAATTTGCAAAAGTTTTTAACAATTTAACTCATCAATCCTAATTACTTATTTTTTTCTTTTGTTAAAAAGTTCTAAAAAGCTTAAATTCTCCCAAAGCTCATCTCTATAGTTGCAAGAATACAAATAAAGGCTAATTATTCACTGTTTTCAATTAAGGAGATACATCTCCTTGAAACACAGGGCCTAGTAACATGTGGTTTTAGATGACCTTGGGAGCCATTTCAAAAAATTAAGATTTAAATTCTTTGGCTATTCTATTTTATAGCCAGGAAAGATCCATTAATTTCACACTTAAAAAGTACTAGTTGTCTGGATTCGTTTGCAGTTATCAGAATGATCAAAAGTGAAAATATTTATGGGGTAAAAATCACTACAAAGCTAAATGTTTTCAACATTACACTGGTATATCGTATTTTTCCCAGAGGTTTTCAGCTTAGCACATTTAAGTTTTTGAAAGTCAGAAAAATGGCCAACTGGGTAAAAAAGCATACTGAATCATGTTTGCAACGTCTAAAAAGAACTGTGCTTTTTTCTACGCTTATGACAGTCTTTAGAGTGCAGACAGTTGTTAAGTTTATACTATCAAAGTTCTAGGGGACTTTTCAGGAACCAGATTTAAAATACGGCATTGCTGTGATTTTTAAATTAAATCTCCAGTAAACACAATGATATAATTTAAAAATTATAAAGGATAAAGTTAATATTTAGTCAAATATGTCCAATCTTGAGAGCTAAATAAGGTCAATAATACCTATTCGACATCTTTAACAGATATTTTTATTAATATACAAAATAAAATTGGACTTATCAAATTTGTTTCTGAGTTTTAATACAGCACTATACTGTATTTAATTCTGTTAGCAGTAAGGGATAAGTAAGACATTATTGTCCGCCTATAAATGGAAAGAAAATGCATGCAAAATACTAAATTTCTCTAACACCTCCAAAAGAAAATACAGTAATCCTTGTCTTCCTTCCTCCCTCCCTTCTTTAGTGATTGCTCAAAGTTACAATGGCACTGAAAAAAGTGACTTATGACCATTTTTCAGTTATGAAGCTTTGCATAGCATTGCAGCACCCTCATGATCAGGTGATCAAAATTCAGATGCTTGCCAACTGATTCATATTTATGACCATTTCTGTGTCCCAAGGTCATGTGACCACTTTTTGTGACTTACTGAAAAGCAAAGTCAATAGGGAAGCCAGATTCACTGACTCACTTAACTGTGGCAAGAAAGGTTATAAAATGGGGCAAAGCTCGCTTAACAAATGTCTCACAGAAATTTTGGGCTCACTTGTGGTCGTAAATCAAGGACTTGTATGTCATGCTGACCACTATAACACATTACATATGTACTGTTATAAAAATAGATCAAGTCACAGCATATTCTGTAGTATTTATCTGCTTATCCACCATTTATAATTATTTAAATTCTTTACTATCCCAATGTGTCTGGTAAAAGTCTGGTTATTTTAAACAAAAACAATTTTAAAGGTTTTCTTTCAGGTCTTTAACAGTAAACAGATATTATACAACAGGTTTATGTTTAAGATATAAACTGGGCATAAATCCCAACTGTGGATCAGGGACAGGAGTAACAGTCAAGCTAATAATCTCTACTACTCACAACTGTTATTGGGTCTGAAGAGGTGCTCAGTTTAAATCCACCTTAACCCATTTCCACATTTATCTCCCATCACAATTTAGAATTTCTAGCCTTTTGTTCTAATTCTGTCACAAACTATCTTCTCTGGATAAAACTACTTTCCGGGTTTGATATTACTTTAGTCCAGAATTTCAATCACCAGATTACTATTTACAATACGTAACACTTACCATATAATGATATCTTCATAAGTAAAACCTAATTTTTCTTCAGTATGACCAGCATTACAAAGAAGCTGCAAGATATAAATTTCAATACTTTCAACAACAGAATTAAAACAACTTTCAATAAGCAAGTTCAACTAATCATTTCCTCACATCTACACTACTTCCCAATTAACCAATCTGAACATTTTTCTAGGATATTATTAGAAGAGAAAGGTTGAATTATTGTCATTATTTTTTGTCAATTATTTTGAAAGATAATTTTTTTAAAAAGCTATTGATATCTGGATTGACTGAATATTTTTTTATTTTTCAGATGTATACAAGATTCTACAATTAACTTAATTATTCCAATTAAAAGACCCAGATTTTAAAAATGTACAAATTCTTAGGTTTCTCTGCAAACAGCATCAATCTTGATTTTTTTAAAAAATAGTATTACTCGCATCTTTATCCAATTCATTTTTTAATTTTTTTTTGCAAAGCTACTACCACTTTTAAAGCAAAAGTCACCAATATAATTTTGTTTCATTGCCTATAAATATTTGATAACAAAAATAGTAAAAATGGTTCAACTATTTGTTATAGTAAGGATATATTGTATAATAAATGGTGGAAAATCTTAAAGGCACAGGTACTAGGAAAATGGTACAGAAAGAAATACATAAAAGATTTTATTTTAAAAATGCTTTATTTGAAAATGTGTATTAAACTAGTCTAAGCACTCTGAATATAGCTTAAAAGTTACATAATAGTAAATAATTAATTTCTAATGCTTTTCACCATATTAAGTTTTCTTTCACTGTTACTTCACCTTCTTAAAGGTCTTAAAAGAACTGAATAGGAACATGTAATTTGTACATAATCAATTTGCTGTTTTTCTTAAAAGAGCAATAGCAATAGCACTTACTTATTGCTCCCTAGTGCTATACTGCCCTCTCCTAGTGGCTGACAGAGTTAGCATATCGCCCTTAACAATCTGAGTCCTCATTTTACCGTCCTCAAAAGGATGGAAGGATGAGTTCAGGACTGAACTGCTGGCAGTAGACAGAGTTAGTTTGCAGTACTGCATTCTAACCACTGTGCCATTGCGGGTCCTAATCCAAATTCAGTTGTTGAATTATTTAAAATGTAATATTCAAACTGCCTCCATATTGTCTCCACAATATCAATGAAGTCACATAAATTATGGCTTGCTGAAAATATTATTTTTAAGAACATTAAAGAACATTGGGAAGTTTAGTTGTAAGTTTCATTACATGAAGCACCACAGTTTTACATATTCAATTCATAGAATTTCTAAATTACAATATATCAGAAATTTTTGTTTCACACATTTCCTTTTAAAAACTATCATCATGTTAACCACAGTAATATGCCCATCATCCTTCCATATTTCAAACTGTTTTAACATTTTAACAGTAGAGGGGAAATTTGGGTGAAGAATTCTACAGTAGCTGTTTACTCATATTCACTATGTAAAGTAGCAGATTAATAGAGTTGGAAGGGACCTTGTGGATCATCTAGTGCAGTGTTTTTCAACCTTTTTTGTGCAAAGGCACACTTTTTTCATGAAAAAAAATCCTGAGGTACACCACCATTAGAAAATGTTAAAAAAATTTAACTCTGTGCCTATATTGACTATATATAAGTGTTTTTCCCACGGCACACCTTACACTATGTCACGGCACACTAGTGTGCCGCGGCACAGTGGTTGAAAAACACTGATCTAGTTCAACCCCTCACCCAAGCAGGAGACCCTACGCTATTTCTGACATATTCTTCTTGAAAACTTCTTGAAAGCTCCCACAACTTCTGAAGGTAAGCTGTTCCATTGATTGCTTGCTCTCATTGTCAGAAAATTTCTCCTTATTTCCAGGTTGAATCTCTCCTTGTTCAATTCCATTCATTATTCCCTGTCTTCCCTGCAGGTGCTTTGGAACATAGCTTGATTCCGTCCTCTCTGTGATAGCCTCTCAAATATTGGAACACTGCTATCATGTCTCCCCTGGTCCTTCTCTTCACTAAACTAGCCATACCCAGTTCCTGCAGCCATGAAATAGAATGCATTTGTACACTGATATGAATACAGGCACAAACAATTTCTAAACCATCTCTGCGAGTCTTGCAAAAAAATCCAAAAACAATTAAATGAATCTGTTTCTTTCTTTCTTTCTTTCTTTCTTTGAATGCTAGAACATACTCACAACTTTACTGTATTCAACACCACTAGTACCACTAGTACTATTATGTATGTTCACCCAGTGGTATGAGAATTTTGGTAACTAGAACAGCTCCCCCCCCCCCGCCCAAGATTCAGATAGCAGCCTTTTTTCCTTGGGGTTCTGAAAAACTGGCTTTGGCCATCTTCACAGTCTCTTTCTGTACCACACATCACTTTGGAGAAAAGATTAAACCTCTTTCCAGAAATTCCTGCTCGTTTCAAACCTTAATTTTTACTTTAACAAACTGCAAAAAAAAAAGAAAAAAAAGAGAATGACATCAAAACCATTCCCTGATTGCTTCTTCACTGCTACTGTTTTATCCAAAGTTCCATTCTTCAATACAAAATTAGGTCATTGGCCCCATTAAACAATGGCAACGAAAATATGTCCTGGGCCTTAAATACCATAAAACTGACAAAATGCATTGACACCTGAAGTAAAAGCATAAGAGAGCAGCTCAAATACTAAGCAATATAGACACTTCTCTTTCACTTTATGCATGTGCTTGGTTTTGTGAAGAAAGTTTATAAAATAAGCTTATATATAAAATAAAAGCAGGAAGAGCTTTAGTCTGAATGAACATTGATCTAGGGCCAGGATGGCGAACCTATGGCATGTGTGCCACAGGTGGCACATGTAGCCATTTGTCAGGGCACACGAGGCGTTGCTCTGTCAGCTGGCCAGCACGCATGCGCACGTTGGCCAGCTGAGTTCAGCCTTTTTTAAAGCCATTTTTCACCCTCCCCAGGCTCCAGAGGCTTTATAGGAGCCTGGGGAAGGCGAAAAGAGCCCTCCCACCCCCCGGAGGCCCTCTGGAGGCTTCAGGAGCTTCCCCGAAGCCTCCAAAGTGCAAACAAACCGGCCCTATGGGCAAACAGGAAGTTTGGGAATGGACTTTCGGTTTGCTCGTAGGGTCGGTTTAAGACCCCTGAAGCCTCCGGAGGGCCTCGGGAGGGGTAGAGGCTGTTTTCGCCCTCCGCAGGCTCCTATAAAGCCTCTGGAGCCTGGAGAGGGTGAAAAAAGCATGGAAAAATGTGGGGGAGCACTCCCCCCCATGGCACACGAGCCAAAAAAGGTTCGCCATCGCTGAGCTAGGGCATCAAAGCCTTGGGGGCAACAATATAGCCCCTCTTCTGAATGATTCTCAAAATGCAAAACTTCATATTGGCAGCACATGATACCAGCAGTCAATTGTCTCAGGAGTGGCATATGCCCTTGTTGAATCGTCTATGAACAAAATTTGCATAGGGAGGCTACACTGGTTATCATGTGTAATTCAAAGTGCTGGTTGTTATCTGTTACATACTGTACAACTCAGAGTCTGGGTACTTTAAAAACCACTTTTGCCTGATAATATAGGATACCAGGGGACAACTGCTGTGACAAGGTTCAATTGAAAGTAGCTTAATAATGAATTTTATTTAAAAGATTTATAACATTATGGCTACTCATCGTAAGCCACTCTGGGCACCTTATAAAAATCATTAGGCCAATAAATAAAATAATAAAAACAATAAACAAACACTCTGTGCTCTCAGCTACCCTCCTGGTGAATGTTGAAAAACTTGCCTCCAGAAGTTGTGAATGTTCCAACACTGGAAGTTATTAAGAAGAAGAGATTGAAACAATTTGTCTGAAATTGTATAGGGTTTCTTGCCTGAGCAGGAGGTTGCACTAGAAGACCTCCAAAGTCCCTTCCAACTCTGTTATTCTACTCTAATGCACCTGTGAGATCCCCCTCCTTTAAATAACTTATCCCAAAGCACAGATGGCTTGTCTCTCATAATTTGCCAGAAAGTTGTAAACAACTGGCTTTTTGAGAACTGATCAATGTAGAACCTCTGGCAGATGAATGCTTTTTATTAATCTGTACTATCTGCAATTGTGATATATTGTTATTAGTTACTACATATTGTACCTTGCCTAGAATCCTAGTCAATAGGACTAAATAAATCCTAAAAATAAGTCACTAATATCCAACATCTCAATTTCTATCTTAAAATGTATTCATTTATGGATGAATAGATCCTCCAACATGCCTCTCTGGATCTGCAAAAGGGAGACATGTAACAGTCGCAGGCTCAGCTGACTGCTTCATGGCCCTTTCAAAGTCTTCACTACATATATTCAGAACATACTTCTTCTGGAAACACATCCAAAATTGTTTTGTATACATCAAATACTGTAATATGCATATGCGTCTTCAACATGATTCATTATCACATTATTATGTTTGTTCAAGCTCCGCAAAATTGTGGACATCCAAGTATTTTCAAACAATGTAGCCATCCCATTACTATTTAATGACATTATTATCCAATTGCTCCATTTTTCTAAAACAATTATTTGATGCATTAATAAAAATAAAATATAATGTAATAGTCACTAAATTTCTTACCTTTGTAAAATTATTCAAATGGCCAAGTTTTCTCATATTTGAAACCCCTTGCAATTTGGCCACATTTTGAAGAATCTCCCTCAAGTTATCAGAGGGGTCTAGAAAAAATATATGGTATAGAGTTAGAGAAACTATACAGTTCCCAAAACAATGAAAATTGTATCCCTTAGATCAGAGTGTAACTCCATAAATTATCTTAATATTTATCTTTGAGAATTCGTGCCATGCTTTGACACACAAATTTATTCTATACTGAGATTATTATTTTGTTATTTATTTATAAATTAATGCCTTTTTCTGATCCAAGACAAAGATCAAGCTGATTTGAAGACTGAAAAATAACCACTTTTATTTTATGTTAGACACCCTATAATAAACTGCAATGGTGCAGAACAATATTATACATTCGGCTATCATCAATCCAGTACAAATAGTTCTCAGCTTAATGACAATTGGGACCAGAACTTCGGTTGTTAGATGATGTGGTTGTATGGTGAGTCAGATCCAATTTTATACGTTTTATGGTGGTCATTAAATAAATCACTGCCGTTGTTAAGTGAATCAGTGATTGTTAAGCAAATACCCAATGGTGGAGTTTTTTTTGTGCTGAAAATTGGTAAAAAAGGTAGCAAATGACAAGCCCATGACCACAGGACAGTGCAACAAGGTCATAAATGAGAGTTGGTTGTCAAGTGTCCAAAATGCTATGTGAACGCAGAAGTGGTGCAATGGTTGCAAGTGTGTGAATCGATTGGCCACTTGTTCCGATGTTGTTGAACCTTTAAGCCAGGGGTCTCTAACTTTGGCAACTTTAAGACTTGTGGACTTCACCTCCCAGATTTCCTCAGCCAGCAAAGCCAAAGTTGGAGACCCCTGTTTTAAACCACTGTTAATTGAATGGTTATTGAATCAAAGAGTAAAAAAAACCCTATTGTTTTGTTACTGCTATAATAATAAGCGAAATTAAAAAAAATGATGGAAGAGAATCCTATAAAAATATTATTTTCTAAACAGTAAAAAATTTTGAGATTCCAAAGATTTTTTTACAAAGTGAGAATAGCGCTTTCTTTAGAAAAGGTAAAAAGAATGAGAAAAAGAGAAAAAATAGTAAGAGAAAATATTTGATAAAATTTAAAAAGCAAAAGCTACAAACGAAAGAGATTAATGAAGTTTACAATAGTATTGATATATCCAATATCCAATATATCTAAAATACCACTAACTATTATAATCCATTATTTTTAAGGATGCATAATAGATGGGACAAATTGTTCTCCTACAATTTAACACTCTCAACAATCTAATATGGGTGTCTTTTGTTTTATCAGAACACTGCTAAAATAATTCTAGATTCAAATAATTTTGCTATAAAAATGATTTATATTTCAACTGCAAGTTCATAGAGTTATAAGTTAGAAAATCTTATTTCACTGGCAAAATAATAATCAAACTATAGACAGTCCTTGTTTAGCAAGCACAACTGGGACCAGCAACTCAATCAGTAAGCAAGGTGATTACTTAGTAAAACTGTGACCGTGTTTATGATCTTAACTTCAGCTTTCATTTGCTTTATAGACTTGCAAAGGTCAAAAATGCAAGGACTGGTTTCAAAGTTACATCATCACTCTCATAACTGAGCAATCACAGTACTACACAGTAGCTAAATGATGACTACCTGTGCTTTCTCAATAAGGCTCCACAAAACAGAAATTTCCCAGCTTGATCAAATTAACAGCCAAAATTCAGTTCTATTTTCTTTTTTCAAAGTAATAATAAAATATCCTCTGGTCACAAAGCTTTAAAGACATGTATGATATATTACAAGGATTGGTTATGAAGAAGGTCCGAAACATTTTGAAAATTAAGTAAGTGAATTGGACTGCAGTCTCTGACACCATTGTTCTTGTGGGAGGAGAGATTGATCCAATAGCTACTACTGGGTGGAATGCCACAGGATTCAATTCTCCCTTCCCTGTGTTTTAACATATATAGTAAACTGATGGAGGAGGTCATTTGACAATTTTGGATATGATAGCAGTATCCTGGGGATGCCTAATTATACACTGCTACCCCACCCTGTAAGAGAGATGAGGTTGTTATTTTATTCATTTTTATATTTAGAAACTGCCCATCTCTCTCACAGAAGGACCCTGTGCACAAATAAGCACCTGGAGCCTGTGAAGACTTGGATGAGAGACAACAGAGAAAATCTGAACCCACGTAAGACAGAATTGCTGCTTGTACAATGTAATACTTCTGGATTCATAACTTCTGCATGAAGTCTTGTAATAGCCAGAAGAACTTAAGTTTAGCTCTGGATAGTACAGTTGTGGCCTTTCTTGCTGCAAGGATACCTAGTTATACTGACTTATACCAAATAGTTAGACTACTGCAATGCACTTTACATGGGGCTGCCCTGAAAGTGCAACTGGCCCTGAATATTTCTTTAACAAGTTTACAATTGTACAACACTTGTATGTGAATTGCATGAAACAGGAAAATATATTATATAAAAAGATTTAATAGAATAAAATAAATTAATGGATAACTCCATTCAGAAAGTCTTACCATTGTCATCCTGCATTTTCATTGAGACAAATGAAAACATAACTTTTTTAAAAAAAGTAATCCTTGTCATTAAGTGTTAAACATCAATTTAATGACACCTAATCCAGCAATCTACTCATGTCTATGCTGTGAGGAGAGATCATATTAGCTATAATGGTATCTTAAAAATAACAACCAAGGTATTACACTTGTTTTGATGCTAAAGAAAATATTTCAATGCTTGAAATGATTGCTTCATAATCCAGAAGCATTTAAGTTTATTGCATCAGGTATTCCACTTTCTATAAATTTCAGACCGAGTCACTAATACCCTACAATGGCCACTAGTTATAGTTCTTCTCAGAAACTTCAAATGGTTCAAAATACCATATACAAGATTACTTTAGTATTTGTCATATTCATCTTCAATTCTATATTTCTTGTTGCATCATACTTTTATTTAATATTTACTGCAAATAAACTAGACTCTGAGCCATCATTTATGTATGAAGATACACGTAGATTCATATCTCCAATCAGCCAATACACTTAACTGTTACCACAAAGAGTTCTGTGTGGTGTAGCAGTTTGAATATTAGACTAGCAGCAGGTTTTAGTCCAAGCTCAATCATCAAAGGTAACTAGCTGAGTGTAAATCAATCACTTGCTCTCACCTTATAGATTAATTTTAGTGAAGAAAAATAGAAGGAGATCATATATACTAAGTTAAGCTTCTAAATAAAAAACAAGATATAAATCCAAGAAATACATTAAAATATATTTTATTCATTTGGCAATAGAAATCTGAGATAGAAAATAAAATTTCCTGGGGCTTATCAAATTACTAAGAAAGAAACTAAGTTTGAGACCAAAAAAGCTTCTAAATACAACCCCAGGTTCTAACTTACAGTAAATCCCCTCCACTGTTTCTTAAAATTGCAGTTTTTAAAAGAATTCTGGAAGACTGTTGCCAATCAAATAAGACAGTATATGATTAAATGGATAAATAATTAGGTTTGAATTGTTTGGATTTCCATTAAAATAGTCACTGTATGAAACAGAATTCTATGGAATAGACTTTGACTCTATGTTCATTCCTAAGTCTTTGAATTCATGTAACTCTATAGAGGCATGGGATTTATTTCCCACATCCTGACATCGGACAGCCTCTTCATTTTCTTACTTTGTGCTTATATAAAAATTATATTGTCAGAGAAATTCCTAGACTGTGATTGTTTATAAATCGTATTCATAGATGTTCTGGGTTTTTTCTGCATTACAAAATATCCTAATGGTACTTGATTAGGAATGTCACATAATATTTCTGTCACTCATCATGTAAGTTTTAAAATTTAAAATCCATAAAGCTCTGTGAAATAGACAGTACATTATTTCATTATTCCTCTCCCTCCCTCCCCCTATCTATCTATCTATTTCTTTCTTTCTTTCTTTCTTTCTTTTTCTTTCTTTCTTTCATATATATGTGTGTGTGTGTGTGTGTGTGTGTGTGTGTGTTGTATTTGTAACTAAGAAATATACACATATTTCTTAGTGAACTAAAAATAGGCAGCTTTGAAATTGCATTTGGTTTTGTGATGCTATCTAATTTAAATGGAGAAATAATAATACCATACTTTAAGCTATTTTTCCTTGCCCCTGATTCCATCACATACAGAAAAAATTTCTATTATTTTCAGAGAGCTAAAAAATAATTGATCATCCAAGCAAGTTACTGCCAGCCCATTAACTAATCATGAGTCAATAAATTTGGATTTTTTAAGCAACTTGAGGATCTTAATGACTAACTATTGGCTTACACTCAAGCTTGTGAGTTCTCAGTTATTGCAGCCTATTCAAAAGAATTCAAAACAATTGTAGGTGACCTGCATATTATATATAACAATGAAAAGAACCGCCCAAGAAGTTTGCATGATCTTTCTCCTTTTTTGGGGGGTCTTCTTTTAGGCCTTCCTTCTTAGGAAAGGAACAGACATAACATATCACCAAAGCAGCTTACTCATAACTGTTTTCAGTTATTTCAGTCATTTACATGACCACCCATCTCATAAACACAACTCTGGGCAGCTGATAAGTTAAAAAAACCATATAGCACTGATTTTTTTTAAAGGACAACCAAGGAAATCAGCAACATTTGGTTTCAATTTCTTTAATTCTGACCCCACCTGCCACCCCCACCTCATGCCTGGGAAAATACTTAGGTCTAAACAGCTTTCCAAAAGACTCCCAAAATAAAATCTAATCTACTTTGGAATAGCATGGTTTGATAGGGCAGGCACTGTGACAAAGAAGGTAGGCTTCTTGAGTTCTACAAAGCAGTACTATCTAATTCATACAACCCAGAAAATAGGATCCCACAGAATAAAGTCAAAAATACCAAAGGCACCACTTCTGCATCATCCGTAAAGGCATTTAAAAGCACTACCTGTGCAATTAATACTGCTAGTTACGGTATATATTACTTAACCATGATATAAAATATGCAAATTATCTTTAACATTCTGCTAAACATATCTTTCTTCAACCTTTCTTTCATCATTTAAAGTAAAAAAAAACCAAAAGTAGAGGACATACTTAAGCACTATTATCCAAGGATCACTGAATTGAACTGCCTTCATGAACACAGATAACATGGACTATCTTATTGAAGCAAGTCTGAAGAAATAATAGAACATATTACACTATGCATTAAACACATTTGTAATAAGAAAGTAATAATAGAATAATACACATGAAACAAAACATCCCTGTGCAATACATTTTCAGTATCCTCATAAAAGTTGTCAAAAGATCCCCAGAATCTACTTGACTTTTAAGAGACTTCAGTATATTTTTCCTTCAATAATCTACAAAATTGGCATATTAATTGGAGCTACAACTTATCAAAATGTATATCTAGACACAATCTGTGATAAATATTTTTTGAATTGTAGCATTTAAATTAAGTGAACATTTTCTCTACTGAATGTCATTTTCTAAACAATTTAGCCCTAATTTAGATTTTACAACTGCAGTATGAAGACGACCATAGTGAAGTCCAGCAATCACTGCAGTAATGTCCAAACATAGAAATCACATGCCCTGTGTGAATAAACAGTATCTTTTTACATTATTGCATTTAGTCTTCAGTAGAACCATTTAGATCTGTTGGGACTAAAATTATGGATTTCATTGTGCACTTCTGAATTTATCCTGTGCTATCCTTTGTACAACATATTTTGCACTTATTCTATTTTTTTTTATAAGCAAGACTGCGCCAAATATTCCACTCAGTTTACAAAGGATTTCCAAATCCTAATATGCAGTACACTAGAATCTATTATTTTATCTCCCCAAAACTGTATCTAAAACAAATGCTAGTTTGCCATTTACTAGTTATGAATTGCAACTCTGCCGGCCAGAAATAGCATGATGGAAACAGAAAACACAGTCCTCTTCATCAATTTGGATTAAGAGAAGCTACAGTTTATTTATTCCAGAAACAACAGGTCGCTGTAAAAACAGTCCTGAGACTGACTAATATATACCTTCTGAGTTTTGCTTGTATTGTAATTTGTATTATTTTAATGTAACAGATACTGCCTTAAGGAGTATGTATGTAATACTGAATATAAATATGCTAAATAACAAGCAATGGAATAAGTTACACTACTGTACTGATAGTTTTTTGTCTAGATAGCATGTCAGTAGCATATTTTACTACAAACTGTGTATATTTTAAGTTTAAAAGGAACATATATATTACTATAAATTATCTCTGAAAATTGTGAGGTTTTCAAAAATGTTACTGACAATACTTCCAGCTGCCACCTTGCCTTAATATCCATGTCTAATGGTAGAAGAGTTTTTGCCTATCTATGGAGACTGTCAGTTGGGAAGCTTTTATAGCTTATCAACAAGCTTAGGCGCAAAGGAGGCCTATTTCCAAGTAGACTGACTCACCAAATCAATTTGCAAGCTGAGTGTAGGAGGGAAACAGAAAGCCTTCAGAAAGACCGTTGAGATTTATATAGTGACAGCATAAGCACTCAAACGCGCTTAACGGCTGCTAACAACCATCAACAGCAAGCTGAGATTAAATAATGAACCTGAAATAGGTTAAGTAGCACAAACAATCTAGGGTGGAGAGAAGCAACACACTACTTGTCAATAGCCACTTATCAATAACCGGGCACAGCTACTTGTTGTCCTCATGCTTCCCCCCTCCCACATCAAGGCTATCTCAGCAAGCAACTCACCAGAGTGAAACATCCCTTGCATTTATCACCCTGCCATAAAACACCATGACTTTCACTGTTTTCAAGGCAGATTTTTTTTAAGAGACCGGTTTGCCTTTCATCCTGTCAACCCAGCCTTCACATCCCCTCCCTTTTCAAGAGGCCCAATAAACGCCAACTTATTTTAAGCAGGGTAAAAAAAAATGCCATTGCAGAACCCAGGGGTGTAGGAAGGAGAAAAATGGGGGGAGACACAACACACACACACACACTGAGTGTATGGGGAAAGCTTATTTCTTCAGAGCAAACAACGCCGCAGACCAGTAAATGGAAAGGCCGGGCCTTCCATTGAGGAACTCATTCACTCCACAAGGTCCGCTTCAGACACCGCAAACCAAGGCTGAATGAAATATTACTCACAGGGAAGTGAACCACTCCAACCAAGCTTCGTTTCAAATAAGGGAGGAGGAGGAGGAGGAAGGAGGCGCGGCGGGGGTGGGGGAGAAGTTGTTTCTTCCAACCATCCCAAACAAGCCGAGTTTCAAATAAGGGAGGCGGCGGTTGTGTATTGGCAACCATTCCCTCTCCGAAGGGAGACGCTTCGAGAAAAGGGAGAAGCGCCTGCCCGGTGCTCTTTTAGGCGACCCTCCCTCTTCTCCCCGCGGAGGACTCGCCCGACCGAGCCTCCACCCTCAGACCCCATTCACTCCAATTCTGAAAATGGGAGCCGGCAACGCAAGGGGAGGAGGAGGCGTGTGTGACTGTGTGTGTATGTATGTATGTGAGGGTGCGCGTTATTCCCAGTCCAGCTTGGTTTTCGGCAGGCCCTCCGTTACCTCGGGTTAGATCGAGGGGGACGTTCTCCTCGCCGCTGTCGTTCCGGCCTGGAAAGGGGGGGGGGGAGAAAGGAGAGACAAGAGCAGAAGCTTCGGTTACTGATGGAAGCCGCACCGCCGAGCAGCGGGGCTGAGGCAAGAAAGAGACAGGACGAAGAGCTGGAAGACGCGCCGCTTCCCTTCCCTTCCCCGCCCGCCACGGTCAGGGCCTAGCCCAGGTTCTCCTCACCTCGGATGCGGAGGTGCCTCAGCGAGCGGGCGCGGAGACTCACCGCCATGTTTACGGTCCCGCAGTCACAACACCGGAAACCTTGCCCGATCTCGCGAGAGCGAGCGGAGGAGAGACGCCGCTTGACTTCGCCCGCCGGGCGCGCTCGGGCCGGCAGTCTGAGCGGAGCAGGGCGGGGCGAAGGCGGCAGCGGTGGAGACGCTGTTGTTGGGGGGGCTCCTGGAGGGCGGAAAGGACCCGCCCGCGCTCAGCGGTGCCTCTCGAGGGGAAGCTGCATGGAAGGCCAAGAGGGAGGGGGGAAGCAATAGCAGTGCCGCCGCCGCCCCTCTTCTAGCCAGGTGGCGGGACACGCATCGTCTTATTTACCATTGTAGGTGGTATTTGGGTGTGCGCGATTCGGGATGTGTAGCTCGCCGTGGATAGCTTAATTAGTGTACTTTAAGGTGACCAGATTTTCAGATTGGTAAAGAGGGACACCTTTGACGGGGGGGGGGGGGGTTGATTAAAAATTTTATAC